GTTTTAGTCTGAGATTATCCCTGCTTGGATTTCTAGGTGTCCTCAGTTCTCTAGCTGTTTAATCAGAAATCAGCACACCTGTTTTCATTCAGTAATCATCCTCCAGTGCTCTTTGACTCCTAATTATCCTCATTTCATTGGCCTACTTTTTGAGTTTAGATCCACTCTTCCACATATTCTCTGACAAGAATTACCTTCGTCTATCAAGTACATTCAAACCAACAAACACAGAAATGGGATAAATGGTTATTTGAATGGAATTACACATCCTGTGGTTTTGTGAAATTGTGAAGCTTTTACAAAAACACGGCACAACTTCCAGAAAAGCACATTTATCTTAGTGTCCCAAGAAAACCCTCAAAAGATAGCTTGCGAATAAAATGTAAAACTGTGCTTACATTTAAAGAAGAAAATTGTTATGTGGCCTCAATGTTGACCAATATTGTGATATTTTACTAATTTCATGATTATTCCTTGACACATTTATTTCTGAGGTTTGTGCTCCCTGTTGCAGTGCGTTAATGAATGTACACTGCCACTGCAGTTTGTATTTACACCACTAGATTGTGCCATTGTATTACAGTAAAGTAAAAAATACACACGAAGATGTTTAGAAAATTTTCAAAATCACCAGTTTTGAAAGTGTGGGCCAGCAACAGCTGAAAACTGTCTCTTTTTGGCTGATTTCATTTTACTGGTCTGCATTTATAGTTATTTTTCTATTATCATTCCATATTTGTTTTGCAACACTTTTTAGAATGAATTTCTTTGTTATTTTGTCTCTCATAATTTTATTTCATTGCTAGAAGTGCCTTTTCTGATTTTTTTATCATATAGTTTTCAGGGCTGAGGTTAGTCTGAGTCTAGCACCCTGGAGAGCAGGAGCTGGACCCCCTGCTGTGGCAGTCTAAGTAGGCTATCATTTTTTCCTGACCCACCCCCACTCATTCCCTCTACCCTCCCTCCATCCACTGAGTCAAACTGCACAGTCATCTCCAAATCTTTGCAATGCAAAAAAAAAATATTATTCCAAAGTACATGTTCGATTCTCACCCACTTATCTTTTTGATCATAATTGTCTTTCTGTATGTAGCCTTTGCGTTCCTCCATTTTCACCTGATATGGCCCTCTCCTAACAGTTTCTCTTTATTTTGCACAACCTTATCTTCCTTGTAACATACAGTAGTCAAAATAAAAAGATAGGCTCCCAAAATCTTTAAATGGTTTGACAGTTGCTTTGGCTGATGATGTGTTGCTTTTGATGCTGAGAAACCAAAGAACAAAAACTATTTATTTTAATGAAAACTTCATTGTGTTAATTCCCAATATTTGTACTCGTTGTACGAATAATGTTGTGTAAGTCAGACATGCTAAACTTGTTTTTATTTTCTGATTTAAATTTTTTTTGTTGTTATTAGAGGCATCACCTGGGTCCTAAAGAAAAGGTCGCCCCCCCCACCCCCACCCCCCACCGCTCACCAGACAGTTTTATCTTCCTGAGTCTCAGGCTTTTGCTTGGTGTACATTTCTAATTTCCACTACCTATTTTAAGTTTACCAGAACCTCATTAACATGGAAACAAACATTTTTTCTTAGCAATTAAGATTTAAAAGTATAACGATGAATTTTATTAACATTTTTAAATAAGACTGAATATTGAGTCCCACATCTGGTCTAAAATCAATGGGCCTCATGCAAGAACATGTTCGTATTCTTCTCCTAAATTTCTCTTACTTTTGTTCGTACAAAGGGTTCGTACGAACATGTCACGTCAGATTCAACAAACGCTTCTATCTTCAGGAAACGTGCGTAAATTCTATCCAGCTGCTCGTGCACGCGAGAGGAGATTAGCATAATTACCACCCCAAAAACACCATATAAG